CGTACAGTTTACATCATCACAAGTCATCTATTATATTCCATTGATAGTTATGTTGAATATACTGCTGTAAAGCCAGTATATGAAAAAGAATCAGAAGTAAAGGACTTCTGTAATTTAACTCAGCCGTTCCTTCAGGAGTTTCCACCGTTTCAGGCTGTCCGATTACATTTCCGGTGAAGTGGAAGAGTCACACACATGAATACAAACATACCCTCAACCTGACTGCAAGGCAATGCAGAGCTGAACAATGTAGTTCCTTGATTCTGTTCATTGCATAGCAATGGCATTTTAAACAATAAAATTCAGTCATGCTCTAAGCAGCAAATCCTTCTAGCACACATTTAAATTCACACCAACTGTTAAAAAACAACAAAAGAAAAGAAGATGCATGTTTGCACCATGCATTGAAGCTTGCTACCATTAAACAACCCTATCCTCATAGTGTTCATATCAAGTTATTAATGGAAGTCTGTTTACAGTAGGCCTATTCTACTAGGAACACAAGCATAGCAGCACCTTAAACCAAACATGAACGAAAAAGCCTGCAAGGCCCAGAATGCTAACAACATTTTGGTGTGAATGTATTTGGAACAGTAAATTGTACACTAAGATCATGTTTAAAAAAACAACACATCAGAAATAGATTAAAGCAAAGGAAGCTGTACGACCTCAATGATAAAGGCAAGTACATTTGGTTCACCTCTTGAGTTGTCATTTCAGTAACATATTCTTCTGCCAGTTGAGCACCCTATGTTGATTCACTATGTATTAGTCCTATTGACTTACCCTATATTTGAAAGGCTATTAGAAGAACACTAACACTCTAAGATCCCAATCCTTCCAACACTTTCATCCCTACCCAGCCTCACAAAAAAAATCAATTCAGATCTGACTAAGCACATGAGCATGTATTGGCAGGATAAGGATTTAAAACAGTGGAAGGCAGCCATCTTTCTTTGTTCTGTTGCCTCTACACAACCAAGGTACATATGACTAACAGGGAAATTCAGCCTTTTGTTTTCAACAGAAAAAATGACTGCGTGTGCGCCTTGGAATAAAAATTTGTAAGGAGTGTTAGTTACGTGCATTAAGTTACAGACACTGATTGAATTGTTCAAAACTAGACGAGGTCTCACAAGGCTTGTTTTACAGCTGTTTAATTTACAGCTGCAAGCTTTTTTTTTTTTTTTTTTTTTTAAGATTTCATGTCCTTTGGAAATGAAAATTTTCTAGACACAAGCAGCTTTGCATAGCTAAGAATACATACCGTTAGTAAACTCTGACTTTAAACTACCGAATTCTCCAGGCTGACATGAAGAGTTGGGGGAGGATTCCCTCCCTACCCAAAGCAGAAAGAAGTATTTATAAGTGTATTAGCGGAAATAGATGCAAATAAAGCCAAAAGTAGAAGAAACATACATGTACTGTCATACAAACTTTTAGCATTGTGACAAACAAACATGGAAGACAACAAGACAGACCTCTCATTTTTCAGCTGTTTTGTGCTTATGTTCTCATAGAATGGGTGTCCCAAACTTGCTATGTTTCAGTTGTTTGATTTTTTTATATACTAAAGAAAAGTTCAAGTGAAACTACAAAACTACTAATTCAATTTTAGAGTAGCATTACACAGGCATCCAGATCAAGATCCAGCAATCACAGCATAACAGAATGAAAGCAGGAAATGCAAAGAGTAAGTCCAAGTAACATTAGTATCACTTCCAGATAAAAATTTGTACAAAGAGGCTATGGAGAATCTGATGTTACTTTTTGTATAGCAGTTCAAATGGCAGTAGAGGATACAAAAGAGAATAAAGAAGTAGTAAGTCACTGCTGACCAATACTTACAATAGAGACAGTGCCTTGAAAATCAAATCAGAGACAAACTGCAGAAAAAGGGAGATAAGTATCATTTTAGTACTACCAAGAAATAGTTCTGACTGAAGTTTATTTTTAAAACAAAACAGAAAACTAGCCATTTTAAAGCACTTATTCAAATTTGAAGAATTTGCAATATTCAGCAGCAGTATTTCAGATCAGGTTTCATTAGGTTTGCTGTGGGATTCAGCAAACTATGAAGTCTGGTTGCAGTCTTCCCATTTTCACAAAAATACGTACTAAATCCAAACTGAGTGACATATGCCAGCAACATAGGATCCAAACCTGTTTCTGACTTTTATGAATAATTTATGGAGAACCAAATTTGTGAAGAAGTTAATTTTGGTCAGAATGAGCCACTTCCCTAAGATGCAGATGTATTTAATAATTTCTTAATACTGCACTTTCAAGAAATAATTTCATGTTGTAGTACTGTGTTCACCTAATTAAAGTTCAAACTATTTTAAACCCATAGAATGAGGGAAGGGAATGGTATTTGCATGTTCTAATAAAAAACACAAAGCTCATAAATACTTTTAATTACAAGGTACAATAAATGAGTAACGACTACATTGTAAGATTGCACCCACAAACCTTAGTTTTTTCTGATAGTCACTGATGTTAAGAGCTTTGGCTTACACCATAAGAATGTGGCAATTCTCATTCTGATTTGTAAATTAGTTTCCAAGTTCTTTAAATGCTAGCTGGTCTCTCAGATGGCTACTATTCAAAGCTCCTCATCACCTAAGATTCCTTCTCTTGCAGAACAAAGACCAACTTTCTAAACTCAGAGGTAATGAACAGTTTCTCACTCTGCCTTCTACAGCTGTGGAAAATGCAGTTTTCCCCAACCAGATTTATAGTAACAGCTTCTCTTTCATGCATCAGTACAGACAACTTGCACATGGGAAATAGAAGCCTATGTATGAAGAAATGTTCTCTGGTATTCCAGCCAGGGGGAAGAAAGGAGAAGGAAAAACACTTTAAAACCTGAAGATGCAACATTACTAGAAAAATACTGGAATAGAATAAATTAACCTAATTTTGTCATTTATCTTATTTCCCAATTTCAAAGTAGGCAGGTAAATATGAATCAGTCATATCTTCAGAAAAAACAGAATTACAAGCAATGCCTTCCTTTTTTTAATACATCCCACCTTTAAGATCAGAACTCTAGGCATTGTGAAACCAGGGGGGGCTTTCCCCAAAGCAGAATTACTGTACTCCTGGGGGGAACTGCAAGATTCCTTTCTGCAGTTTCTTCAGCCAAAGACTGGAAGTATCTCAACTTGCACCTAGAAATGTTGAAAAATTAAACTGGCAACACAGCTGTGGTTTCAGGAATTTTCCAGGAAGAAAATATGGGTTTCAAGTTAATGTAAAGAGATTATTTCCAGTAAAAGTAGAGACGGTTACCATATTAGCGTGTTAACTATGGCAATTTGAAGAGTGGTAGGAAGAGAGAAAAAAAAAAGGTATTGCTCATTTTCAGCAAAACAAGCTAGCTGCAACGGATGAGTAACTTAACTCCCACACCCTTCAGTTGAGGATATGAAGCACAAAGCATAGCGAGTCTTCAAAAACTAAGGCTTGGACATAGATTTACTGATGGGCTGCCTACTAAATAGGCAGCCAATACCTCTCCTCTCACAATGGAGGAGTAAAGTCTGTTACAGGCCCAGGAACTTGACACAAAGAGGTTTCTCTTTTCATTTAAGGTAACAGAAACTAAAGTCTGTCCATGACAAAACCAGAGGCCTACGTTTTGCAGGTCGTATAGTAAGAGATAAAAATCAGTTAAGGCCAAATTCCAACATACATTCACAAATGGCTTCATTTTTTTTTCATGCAAATGAAAAATACTGCAAGCAATGGTATGAGAGGCAAGATGAACATTAAACAAAATTCCAAGAGGTCACACATTTCTTCTCTGAAAAATCAGTTTGTTTGAATTTGACTACACTCAGGAAAACTCTCTAAAAGCTGCAGGAACTGAGGGCTGCAGATCAATGTGCAAAAGCAAGATACAGCTATTCTGAAAGAGCTTCTGTGAGCTGATGTCCCAGCTCTGTTGTACAGATTCCAATTGTTTTTGGAAGCGGGAAGTCTAAAAACAGGAGTCTAGGTGCGTGAGTATAATTTAATTTCCCATTTCTAAAGACTTCTGTTAAGGTAATAGAGGTATAAACCACTGTAACATTTCTCAATTTGTATCTTAATAAAGCTAGGAGAATTTCAGCGAGAACAAATTATTCCAGTCTTTGAGGCACACACATTGTAACATTTGCATCTTACAGACAGAAATAATTTAAGCAAAACCCTCCTGAAGACTATAAAAATGTAAGTTCCATTTATTACACTAGCTAAAAGGACAACATACTAGTTTTCCCTATAATTATGTATTCCAAGTTGTTTTCCCACCCTTCAAAGGTCATCAGTGCCACTCAGGGAAAAAAATTTAAAGTACTGCTTTCTACATATTTTTAATAATAAATATATTCAACAATTCAGGAGATATGAGTCTAGTGTGTTGGACAGGTATTTGGAAAAATACCAACTTATGCAGGAGAAAGAGCTGTGAAGGCATAAAGTAAGAGAAGACACTACGGCTTATTATGTTCATGCCGGATTTAAAATACAAGCTACTAAAAAAAGTAAACAGAAGTAGCTTACACTAACAGAATCCTCCCCCATAAGTTCAGGGAAGCGTCTGAATTGGACAGGTCAGGGTTTTGGTCCAGCACGTTGGAACCCTACATGTAAGCCAGGAATAGATAGAGAGAGAGATATATAGAGCAACTAAAAGTTCTTCCGTTTAAATGAAAGCAGTATCAGCTTTGTAAAGAAGTTTGAGGAAAAAACATAGGCACCACATAGTTGGTTTTTTTTAAGGTTCAAATGTACATTAACATGTTACAGCCCCCCCTTCCGCCCCATTTATACACACATAGCTTATGTAAAGTTATATATTCAATAGAGTACCTTCACCATGAAAAGTCTCTTAGGCCAACTGCTCACGATAACTACATTCAATAATGCAAAGTGGATAACTTGGTCAAGCCATCTCTCCCACCCCAATAACTTAATTTCAAACCACAGAAAACAGTTATATTACGTAGTACTCAACGGCTGGGCTTGTCAGAGCTCTGAAACAAGGAGCACAGCTCTTCACAGGTCTGTGTTTCCACTGAACTGAACTGGGACTCCATTGTATTCCAGGCTAAGTCAGCCAGAAGAAAGTCATCCATTGCTGTCTGCGTCTCATTGCTGGTAAGGAATAAACTCCCCAGATTCTCAAAGCAGCTATCCATAGTCTGTGTTTCAGTGCTACTGAGCTGGACTTTGCTTTCAACATTCTGAGTAGGCATGTTTTTAGTAGCTGGATATAATTCTGTCTGGGTTTCCGTATCAGATGAGTCAGTACTCATGGAGAAACTAGACTGCTTCAGAATACTTCCTAAAGGCAGATGGGTATTACTGTCCAAAAAGAAATTCAAGTCTGTCTGTGTCTGTGTATCAAACATCTCCAAACCTAAGAAGTTAGAATTTCCTCGGCAGCTATATGATTGAGTGGCACTATCTGAAAATAAGAAATCAGTCTGAGTTTCAATGTCCAATGACTCCAAAACTGGCTCAGAGTTTAGGGTACCAAGCTCACTCTCTTCCGTCTGAGTTTGGATATTGGATGCTGAAAAGAACTCTTCAATGTCAAAGTCTATTCCTGTGCTCTGTGATGGACCAGATGGCAGATGCGTGTCAGCATTAGAACTTGTCTCAGACAGAAGGCCACGATTATCCAGTGTCTGGCCAGACATGTTTCCTGAAAAGATGTTTTCCAGATCACTTAGTAGATCAATTGTCTGGGTTTGATTATCCATCGTATTTTGAGGTGGAAGTATATTAGTCTGCGTATTGAAGCTGATAAGGGATTCAGACTTCACCATATCTTGATTCAGGCTCTTGCAATTACTCCTTTGCAGCAAGGTTTGATCTATATTTGCAGGCACTAAATTGTTTTCTGGAAGTTCAATGTGAGTAGAAACATTATATGATGAATGAACATTGTCAAAGATGTCGCTGCACATGACAGCCTGGTCCATTTGCACTCTTCCATCAAGAGAGTCCTGTGTCCTACTGGTTTGAGTCTCTCTAGAAATGCCACACGTTGGAAAACAAACCTGACTAAAAGCATCAGTCTGAGCAGCTATGGATGAAGTCAGTTTGGAAGCAGGCAGCAGCGTCTGTGTTTGTACACTGATGGGTAACGAAACCTGTGAACTGAATGACAGATCTGTCTGAGAGCAAGAGGATACAGAAGAATTGGGAGTCCAGGCCGCAGCCGGTACAAAGTTCTGTGAAATATAAGATAAGTCAGTCTGTATATTTATTGAAGAAATTTTGTTCTTGTGACAAACATTCCCCAGCTCTTGCCCTGTGTTATTCGATGTAACCTTATCCCACTCAACTTGTACACCAGTACTTACTGGTTCATGATCACCAGAATTTGTCACTTTTGAAACAGGCATACTATCTTTAAATACAAGTGTTTCTGCCTCCAGTGCTGGAATCAGAATTCCTATAGATTGAGGCAATAAATGAACAGTACTTACAACTGAACCTTGATTATCAACAGTCACCACAGCAGGTTTGACAGAAGAGTCTGTTGCAGATACATATATAGGCAAGTGAGCAAGCTGCATCACTGGAAGTTTAACCAAAGCCACCTTAGGCTTTGGTAAAAGCATCTTCGGTGCACATTTTGACTGCATTTGGTTCGTGAAGTTAGAACTGCAGGAGCCTTCAAGAGAGGCCGCTAGTTTCACTTCAGAGGGCTCCAATTCCTGACTGCCAGGATTATTATTTTGTGTATTGACAAATGCTTCATTTGCTTTCTCTGCCAACTGCTGATTAAGTACGGAGGTTTCCATTTTCCTTTTCTTACTGGGAGGATCCCTGTGAACGTGAGATCAATAATTTATACCGCTTTCAAGCACAAAACATCTGCCTTCCATTCTTTTGAGTCATTGCATTGAAAATATAAACTGAAGTCACAGATGAGGTTGGATATGAGAAGACAACTAATCCTGATTAAAACATAAAAAGACTCCATGAACTTCAATTTTGTAACATTTCATTCCTCACTCTCCCATTTAAAAAAGAAAAAAAGGTTACCTCTTTTATGGAGACCTATTTCTAAATGGAGGCGAAAGTTTAGATGGTTTCTTCCCCCTTGCACATTAAGCACTCTGATTTGAAGACATGTTTGTTACTTTGATGCTAACTCAGACCAAGCATTGAAGGGACAGTGCTCTTAAAATTAGTGTACAGGTAAAGGTCTCTCATGGAAATTGAAGATACAATTAGCACTCCTTCACACAAAACTTAATTTTGCATGACTCCTTCACACAAAACTTAATTTTGCAGCAGTTGAATCTCCAAGACAGACAGGCTAGGCCTCAGGAAACAGATTACCCTTTATAAAATATATGTACACGTTAAGACAACTATAAATCTAAACATGCATATATAGGCATTTAAAAAAAAAATTCACTAATACTTGCAAAGACGACTAGACTATAAAAGAAAATAAATTGAACTGCATTCCACACCAGTTACCAGCTATAAACGTTTCCAAACCATCTCTATTCTCACAGAACTGTAAAAGCAGATGCAACAAGAACCACTAGCATTTATGTCATGCAGTGCAGTGTTATCAGTACTTTTTTGTTTTCTGTGGGGAACCTGATCTTATTGATTAGACAATCATCATTGCCTTCAACAAAACAGAAACTACTAAAGCAACAGAACAAAGAAACTGCAAACTGCTTTACAGCTAAAACAATGTGCACCTATTTCCAATTTAATCAACAGAAAGGAGACAAAAAGCCAGTACATGGGAGACAGAGGACTTGGTGATGAATGTAAGTATCATTACTTAACTGCTTCACTTTTACCTGTGTTCTGCAGGAATTTCATGGCCGGTTCTGTAAATATGAGACAGTAATGCTGTTCTGCTGGCATAAGGGCACCCACAAGTACACTGGAAAGTCTTGCCACAGACCTCTATATGCCGTTTCAAATACCATTCTGTACCATAGGAGTTACTACATTTATCACATTTGTGCTTCTTTTCAGCATGCATTTTCATAAAGTGCTAGAATACACAATGAAAAGTAAACATTAGCCTTCAGTAAAGATAAAAAAAAGAAAATCATGTTTAGGGGAGACATGAATATTTGCATTTTTTTAGTTGTTAAATAGCATTGAAGAGTAGAATTAAAAACTTTTTAAGAGTCTCATTAGGAATAAGTCACAAGCTTAAAGAAATCAACAGAAAGAATTTAAAGTTTGCAAATCTGCTTGTGCTATGTGCATCTTAAAACACAGATAAATATTTATTTGTCCTAATGTTATTGGAGGTTTCCTATGGACATTAATAAATCTATAGATGAATCTTGCCAAAGAGCATAGTAAGTGTATGTTGCAACGTGTGCACACTCCTGAAGATCTACAAGTGAGCAAACAGTCTCAAGTCAAACAGGTCAACTTCAGAGCAAACACCGGAATTTTTCCTTTTCATTTACGGCACCAAGTGCTAGCCACTCATCTCCCCTATGGTCTCCCCAGCTTAACAGCAGAAGAGTGCTTTTTTTACTCACTCATGCAGAAACAAGTCTTACATGTCTTCTTAAACAGGTAACTATTAAACAAATGCATTTTGATACTAAAGCAGAGAAAAACTCTTAATTCTTGACCACTTGAAAAAGCAGTTTAAAAGCATCGGCCACATTTTAAACCTTTATTGGTTGCTACTGTGATTTTTTTTTTTTCCCTTCTGGTCTTTCTCCATCTTTTTAATTTGTGGACAGGGGCTGTCTTCTAGTTTAGCAGAATGTACTGGCATCTGCCTGATCAAAAGGTTCAAGTCCTCTAATATCAACATGCAAACATGCAAATTCATTAACCGTACGCCCATGTGGAGTTTCTGCATACAATTCTCCAACTTCTGGATATATGCTGAGAGGCTTTGCTCATATCTGAATACAAAAGTGTACGTTCTCTGGAGTAGAGACAGTCAGGACTAAATCAGTATGAAAATAATACTTTAGGAAATAGGAATACCTGTTTTACAAGAGAAAATTGGGAAAATGGTCTGTTTGGTCCTCTAGGGCAGCCTTCAATAGGACAGCAGTAGAACTTCTGTGAAGTTTTCAAACCCTTCCTTATTGGTGCATTACATTTTCCATCCTGAAAAAGAACCAGTTGAGAAGTTGACAATTCTACAGGTTTGCATATTAAAGACAACATTCAGAATACACATCAACTTTGGCTCACTGAGTTTACACACCTCAATGAGTTGAAGGCACTTTCCTAAGTGATTTGAACATTCAAATGGAGTTTTTCACTGATGTGGATGCTACTTTGCAAATATACCATCAAAATTACCAAGTGAAATTACAAGCAGCTCTACAGAGTACTGATATTGTACTATTTACTTTTACCGAGATACTCACTGCCTCAAGCCAATTATAACTGCCTTTTGTGTTATTTGAGCCATTCTACAGATACTACGCTACACTGCCAATTCAATGTGGTTTTACTTGTTAGTAGCACAGTCTACCTGAAGCTCCATTAAAATTAGTCACACACTGCGTGACACAACACTTCCCTGACATTGGAATTCTGTTGGCACTATTTAGAGTTTACTTGTAATAAAATGAAAAATGCCAAGTACACTCTGCCACTTAATTCAGATTATAAACCAAATCTCACTTAAGTCTATGAAACTAACAACTAGCGTGCTAATTCTGAACCTCCAAACATTAAGTGACCGGTATACCTGCGCTTTCCATGTGATCTGCCTCAGTGACCACCACATGTACACTATAGAAAAAAGCAACATACCTTGCACAAAGAGGACCTCAACAATACATATAAAAAGGACACACTATTGGGATAGTCCGGATTGTTCAACCACATAGAATCTATTCCTATTGAGGACACAGCCATGGAAACCAGACAAGACGTATCCCTCTAGACATATCCTATCTGAAAGACTCCCAGTGGAAATGTCAGGCATCTGTGTCTAAGCAAAAAATTAAAAGTGAAGTATTAAAAATCTCATGCTCAGAATAGCTGGAGTCTCCTTTCACCCTGAGACTGAGGAGGAGGCCAACCAAGTCCCCAGAGCCAGTTACAGTAGTCCATGATGGCATCCCCAAGATGACTACTCAGAGAATTACCAGAGCATGCCCTGTTTGAGCTCTGCACCTGATTATCCTTAGCATGATGACAGCAACAGTAAGCACAGTAAGTGGTGGAATGTTGATTTCACACCAGTGACTCCCTAACTACCTTCTTTGGGCAGATCTCCAGCTGCTTCATGTTTACACAGGTTAGACCAAACATAAGAAACCACAAAGCACAATAGTCATCCCATGTGAAGCAAACAGAAAGTATGTACCACAGCTGCCAGAACACAAAGGGGTTCACTGCTCACACTACCGCTTCTCACCTAGCTACAGTTAGTCACAACTCTGTGTTCTGAGCTACTCGTGCCTTGCTTTTGAAGTATTCATTTCATTTGCACTTCAGGAATACCATGAAACAGATGAGTGGGACACTTCAATGATTTTGGTTTTCCTCAAATCATCTCTCAATCCAAGATACTCTGTGTAAAATGTAATCCCTTCAAGCAATATTTCAGTTATATTTCCACACACTCAACTCTGCTACTTGCTGACATTGCTGGAAGTTTGTTTTTATTAATGACATACCGTACCCAAAGAAGCAAAGTTTAGAGCCTCTTGACCAAAATGATCAGCTGCCATGTCATCAAGAAAACCCGGAATAATTCTCTAAAAAGGGAGTTTTCATGAAACGTTTTAACCTTCTAAGCATCTTTATGTACAGCAGTTTTCCCCATGGACAAACCATTCATAAACAGGCCTGTTTTATCTCTGCTGAATAATTACTGTGATTATTTTTGCACCTCCTAGAGCCACTGCCCAAAACAGGAACATGACTCAAAGAAATCTAGTTGTTCCAGCCCCACTAACCCCAATTACACTTTTTAACCCTGAGTTTACCCAGAAACACTTTGACCAGATGCCAGTCTCAAAGTCTTCAGAAGAAAAAAAAGATTTGCCTTTAAGTCAAAACTATGTTTGGTCTCTCCCACTGCAGACGAAATCAATATGCTTAGTAAGCGGCAATTGGAGTTACTTATTCCTAAGTAAGAAGTTATTCGAAGTGTGTTATATTTAGTGTCACAACCCAACAAATAACAGGGCAACATGGGAAATATGTTCAGGCACTTAACAGGTAAACCACAGTCAGGTTATTTAAAACTACTTAAGTACTAAGGTATAGAATGACACCAAGTTTAAAAGCTATATAAATATGAGTAAAATGCTTTTTTAACAGCTGGAACATAGACTTTTGAGGCACAGATCACAATAAATTTGTTGTGACAAGTTGAGACATACTCTGCACGTATAAGTAGCCCTATCCAGACAGTAATCTTGTTTTTACCATCTTCAAAGTCCCCTGGGCTCTAAATGGTTAATCTTACATCTTCTCAAAAACCTGTCTGGCCAGTCATATTTCAGCCATTCTCACAAGTCCTTTCCTTGTATGTCTGATTTTACTTCCCATGTTTCTACAATAGCCACCCACCACAATTTTTGGTAGATATTTGTTCAATTAACTTCTCACAATGCAGACACTTGTATTGTAGGAAATACTGACATTCGGACAGGGCTTGTGGCAACAACACGGAAAATGGAAATTAACAGTCCTTGCTACTGATTTAGTCAAGGTGAACTTAGTGACATCTTGCTTTCCTGCAACAGAAGGGCTTGCTCTAAAGGATTAATTTAAAACAGTAAGTTACAGTAGACTGTAGCCAACTATTTAAAACATTTTTTTGCAGCAGAAGATCATGTATTTCTTTACTAAATAGCACAGAGAGAAGTGCGTTTATTCTTATTATAAATAATATTGTTGTGGTAGTGTAATATTTGCATTTGCGTAACCTACCCCAAGGGTAAGCTACCCTTTCCAGTCCACCACTGACTACAGCTTCCCTGCTACCATAGGAATCCACAGAATCCTCTCCTTTACATGAACTCCTCTAGCTTCATTTTTAAACTACACAGAAGTCTTCCCCTTCTCCCCATAAAATAATAGGGACAAAAGACCAAAGAATTTAAAAAACATTCAAGCCTACTATATTAAGTGCCAGTTTATACCCACTGTTCTCATTTTTAATTGGCTCAGTTAAGCTAAGGAGCTAGAAAACAAACATTTATATATCAACACTTCATCATATCTTCTTTTGTTAGGCCAAACAAGCCAAATTCTTCTAATTTCCCTTTGTCAGCCACACTTGCCATTCATCACCCTTAGTAGCCCTTTTCTACACGTCTTCTGGGTTCATTTTAGCTTATTTGAATCAGATTCCTACCCTACAGCAGTGACAGAGAATATCCTTCTGACGTATTTTAGGATTGCCCTTCTCACAGCAGCATTACCCTAAATGCTCCTACACATATGACCAAACAGCTTTTTCAAGTGTTCCCCATCTCAGTTATTTCTGTTACAAACCAAGACTGATTTTTTGTTATCACTTCACAGGACTATAATCTAGTACTATTGCGCTTGACTGTTTTTACAGGGTAATCTTGCTTTCCTATGTAAATATCCTTCCTCTGCAGCGACAATACCTCATGGGTTTTGGTATCAGAAGATCTTACTTGTGCTACTTTTATTAATGAAAATTAACCAAGTCAACCTCGCTTCTCTTCAGCACTACTATGTTCTCTCCTTCCCCGATAGCTTCTTACCATCTCGTTTGTGAAGCTGCCTCTTCACCAATTCCTCACGTTTCACTAACAAATGCAATCTACTAAACTCTTTTCGAATGGGGAATCAGTTATCTCTTAAAAGGAAATACTAATACTAAAATAATAGTCCAAGTCCATCTCTTTCTGGAGAAACAGAGTAACACACACCTAGATTTCTATCTTTTTACCTTCATATCTTTATCCTTTCATTCAAGATGAATTCTCAAGCTGTGCATAATGCTGAAGATATTTTATCTAAGACATAGCACAGAAAAATTAGCCTCCCGTAAGCCTCAGTAACATCTTACTCTCAGTTACAATGTCCTTGGAATAAGTCAGATGCTCCTGAAAATCTGCATCCATCCATGTTTCACTATTTATCCAAGCTATCACAAAATTTACTAATTAGGTGTATGAAATATGCTACAATTCCACAAGACACCAGTAGTTAATAGCTATCTAGGCAGTTGATGAGAAAGCAGCATTTCCTCACCCATCACACCCCGTACACGAGTTATACAACCCACTAGCTGCAGTCCCCGCCGGCTGCTGCATACGCTCAGAGTACAAGCTCACAACCAAAACGACTGTCTGCTGAACGTGAATGAACGTTTTCAACTTCTGTTGTACCTCCACTCATGCGTACATGCGAGATGTAACACATAGCACACACAAAAATTGTTAGCGCATATTAGGAAATATCTGTCAGAGATAGGAGATCGCAAGTATGGCTGAGAATATTTCCTTTTGTTCATCACAAATGATCATCTGTAACACACGCTTGATTCAGTAGTTAGCCATTTCACAAAACAAGTATGTTTCTTGTTTGCCCACTGGGGCTGCATCTTCACCATGCATCTTCAGGCTGCGCCTGAAGTTTTCCAGGAACAGGATTTGTCCTCACACACTTGGCATTACGATTTTGAGAAAAGTAAGGATATCCTTCTGAAAGGCCCACACTCAAATATATGCTTGCTGAACTGTGGCTCGGCTCTCCTCCCCTTCCAGTACATGCTGCGTTTTCTCAGGAGTACTATGGTAATGAGGGCTTGTTTCCAAAATGGCATCCATCTAGGGTTTTTTTGGCTCACAGACATTTTTAAAAAAACAAACAAAAACTCCAGCATAGCAGCACTCCACGTTTGGATTATGATGGCTTGCCAACTGCTAAGGGTAGGAAACGCAGTATGTTTGCACAGCACCTCGCAAGTGGGGCTATAATGTCTCATGCAGAAAGACAAGCGATAAGCAAATGAAGTAACAGAAACTCCAAAGAACTTTTAACAGATTTAGTTAACACTGGTACAAAATTGGTTATTTTCTATAAGTACTTCTAGCGGAATTCTCAATACAACTGGTCAGACTGCGCACACGCACACACTCCTCTATTTACAC